TGTCAATTTCAGTTGTAGAAAAGTTATACATTGTCCTTTTAACGCAGGCAGTGAATTCGTCAAAAGTTTCACAAGTTATATTATTTTCTAGCGCATCTAATCGCAATTTCTTTTTGACTCTATGAAATAGATTCTCGATTGGATTGAGATCTGGACTCCTGGCAGGAATTTTTAGCTGTTCAATCTTCATTTTTTGCATGGTGTCTCTCACTATACTTGAATTTTGTACAGGACAATTGTCCTGAACAAAAATATTCGAATGCCGTTTGTGGGCTTTGGCAAACAGAATAGTAAATCTACTATCTACAAAAGAAGCAAAAAATGGCCCATCCATCTTTTCATATCTATAACAATCAATGACCCCTTTGCCATAGCTTATTGCGACTAAAAGCTTGAGTACTTTGCCGCCACTGCCTTTTTTACTCCCTTTTGCAGTACAGCCTTGCTTTAATCCTTCGGACTTTTGACGCCATACTCTACCATGTGGAGCCCTAGCTTGGTCTGCTGGATTTTTCTTATAGTAGAAACTAACACCATCTAAATAAAATCCGACCAGTTCAGTCCACACTGTTTCTGGATATGATTTCTGACTTTCTTGGCAAACGCTACTCTTTTCTTGAGATCAGACAAAGACATTAGTCCCTTTTTTCGAGCTTGCAAGAATTGGTAACCATGTCTTTTGAGGCACCGTCTCACGGTTGCTTACTTGGCTTTCTTGTATCCCTGCCCTTTCCATTAGACGCTTAGACGAGAACTGCCCTTCTTCTTTTCTTAGCAGTTTTAATGTGCGTATAAGCTTTCTCTCATCACGTGAGTCCAACTTCCTAGGTCTACCGCCGGCATGATTGCCTTTATTAGTTGTGTTAGTCAGAGATTTTTTTGCTGCTTTAATTCGATATACCGAAGCACGTGAAATGCCAGTTTTCTCAATAATTTCCCTTGTTGATATTTTTTCGTTTTCAGCCAAATATTTTACATAAGCTCTTGTTTCTGCTCTAATAAGCCCTTTAAAAACCATGTTTCTCTGTCACGCAACATACACAATGTCATGAATACTAGTCTCACGAAACTTTGTGGTAGAAATATTAATTTACTGACACCTCAATCATTAATTACATGTCATTGAGTAAGTGTACATTTTTAATATTTAACTCTTGTTTCAATGGTCATTTTGCGTGCAAAATACACAGCATCGTTATTCAGACAATCTTGGACAAAACTGGTTGAGACCCAGTGTAATATTCATGCCATAAAAATATATTCTGTAGCTATGTCCATTAAATTATGGATTTATTTTGATGTAACCCCCACTCCCCCAGTCCAATGTTGCTAGTATTTGATAGTCACATAACCCAGGTACATGTTTTCGTCCAAGCAACATTGAATCAGGGGGGAGAGGGGGGCAAAACCATGGAAATTTTAAACACTCATGCACATGACATTTGATCTCATATTTGTCTTAAGTGTATTGTCCAAGATTGTAGCTACGCGGTCAGGTCGGTTCGAAATGCGGCATTTTGTCTCCCTGTAAAATGTTGCTCGCGAGTCTTTCAAAACATTCCGAACGAATCTCGCGTGACAAAGTAACAGGGATGTAACAGGGGGGGTGAATTATTTCACGAAGATAGAAGAAGGCTGCGTGAAATAGACTTAAAGCTAAATACAATCATACAAACGTTTGTTTTATTTCTTGTAGCGACAAATATATACATATTATTATTTATTAATATGAACAAGTCATACAAATTAAATGTTGATTGTTGGCTTTACCATACTGTGTGGGCTTTGCTTTCATTTTTCAAGTCTCCATGCCACCCCTTTGTCACGTCCATGTTACTAAACCACGCGAGATTTGTACGAAATGTTTTGAAGGACTCGTAAGCAACATTTTACAGGGTGATAAAATGCTGCATTTCGCATACAGTATTTCGTTTGTATTTTAATATCCTTGACAAAGGGTTAAATTTGTTATTTGTGTAATGGATATAACGTGAATGTAAGAATAAAGAGGCCGAATTGTTGACAACCTACATGGGATGACAAAATGGCGCCGAATTTGGACAAAGTTGTGGATTTACCTTGTCGATGCACTCTATGGTTAAACAGCTATGATCTACTTGAAACCGAGTTGAAACTTGTTTAAAATGTTCTTGATACCATTATGTGTGAGATGATATACATTTTGGGAAGGATGTGGACTAGATCGCCGATAAACAGCGGAGTAAAGTGGAGAACTTGGCCAAATACGTCCATTTGCAGGAAGTAGGCACATTTCAAATTATTATTTCGGTCAGAAAATATTAACTATTTTACACCAACTATTTTACAGGGCCTAAAACTTTGCTAAACCTTACGCTGAGTGCCTGAGTCCAAATAATTTACAAGTCGAAGCAAGCAAAACAATAAACGATGTCTTTCAAATACGCCTCAAATACTGTATGTCGCATGTTGCTTATATTTTGTGTTCTGAGCATAGCAAGCGCGCACGACCACAATGCAATGCGCTAAATAAAATTTGTTTATTTATTTATTTACTTTGCCATCATACTTATACATTCACTGGCTGGGACGAAGATTGACGAGTTGAGCTCATTTTAGATAATTTGACATTCAATTTTAATTCCCTCTTGGGAATTGTGTATGTTTCGTTTCCCATGCAATTCCCAACGGTGGAAGAATGTGATTTAGACCGGCAATTTTATTTGAAGAGTATGTGGCCATTTCTCATCGTTACGATTTAAAAAGAGTATCATTGAAAAGCTAAGTAACTGTTCTTTGTCCAATGTAAAAATTGAATTGTTTAGCCACGTTTGTATGGTAATATATATGCTTTTTATGAAATATATATACATAATAAACTTTAACCTTAACATTCGTGAATCATGTTATTCTCAACTGTAAATAAGAAACGAAACATATTCACTATCTAAGTTTCTGTCATCAAAGTCAACAATAACTTTTATCAAAGATTTTAATCGCAGAAACTTTGATAGTGTAAGCGAGCATTTAAAGTTCAGAAAATATTTCTATTTTCGGCAAATTGTCCGTTTGGAAAAATGTCTTTTCGGCGAAAAAATGTCCGTTCGGCGAAATGTCCGTTAGACAAAATATTTGTCCGTTGGCAAAATGCCCGTTCGGCAAAATGTCTTTCGGCAAAATGTCTTTCGGCAAAATGTCTTTCGGCAAAATGTCTTTCGGCAAAGTGTCTTTCAGCAAAATGTAAGGCCACCTTTTTGAGACACCCTGTACAATATACTCGAACAATGTAAACAATGTATCAGTAAGTCATACCTTTCGCCGAATATAACTTCGGCCCCGTTCAACATATCTATATCGTATTAGTCTTGTTCGAATCACAATCCAAGACTCTCTAACTCTCACACTATTAAAGCGTTATTTTCGAGCTTGTATCTGCAGATTTCCATCTTTTATTGCGGTATTTCAAAATATCTAAATTTTACGCGAGAGCTTCGACCGGGAGTTCACATCCTAGCACTCGAGAAACGTCGGAAATCGATTCTAAAGGTCAAATTACCCCTGCAGCGTGATTTGCACGTGCATCGGGCAACGGGTGCTTCTTATTGGCCAATTTTAGCGTGTGTGGCACGCGCGTGCGAGTAAAAACCCGATATTTTGAAAAATTCAAAATAAATATTTCTACTCGTCATATTCAAACGAAACTTTCCACATAAAATCGCTTAAATACAAAGAGTATTTTACTGCTATTGACTTGGGCGAATTCTGAAGAGTTTAGAAGATATTCAAGTTTTTCTCGATATGAAATACAGAATGTTTGGGTAAATATGAGTAAATATACGATTGTTTTGGTTTGTGTAATGTTATGATGGCATTTGACCCCCCATAAATAAAGCTTAGAGGGGGTCAGGATTTTTATTTTTTTGTTTGGATTTAACGTGACAAGGTAATATAAGAAGTTTTCTAAAACTGATTTGCCGCTGGGATTTTGCGTTTTATTGCCTAGTTTTAAAGTTATCGGTATACGAACAGCGACGTATAAAAAGTGCGTAAATTCGAATGCCGATAATTTTAGAACTAGGCAATAAAACGCAAATCCCAGCGGCACATTTTTAGAAAATTTCTTATTTTACCTTGTCACGTTGAATCAAATCAAAAAATTAAAAATCCTGACCCCCTCGAAGCTTTATTTAAGACCCTATATTTTCTGTTCAAATGTATGTGTTTACCGAAAGTGGGCTTTCTGTGCTCGCAGGAAAACTACGTACAATAACCAATTATGAATTCTGATTGGCTTAGAGCGAAATTGTCAACAAATGCGCTGATTGGTCGAGAACGAAATTCTCCCTTGTTGAACCGGACGACATTGAGTTTTAAATTTTACTTTAATTTGTAGAAAGGGGAGAAAAATTAATGTTAATTTAGTTTAGTTCAGTTCACTTTAATGAATTTGCCATCAGTTATATACGGTTTAAATAAAAAAATACTGGACGAATGTTTGTTCATTTTCATGCAAAAGTGATTAACAAAACTACTAACTAGCTAAACCAACTAGAAAATAGGCACTGAAATGAAAATATAACTTGTCTTTCTATTTTAAATGAATTTACTTTTCCTTCAGCTTCTGATTCGTCGAAATCAATATTTAAAGCTAGTAGATATTAGATAACAGAGCGAAAGTAAGCGATAACGAGTTTACTACACGTATGTAAGTTACATACGTGTAGTAAACTCGTTATCGCTTATGTAAGTCGCGTGTACTCGTAGCAAGTCGTATGTTCTCGTATGTAAGTCGTATGTATTCGTATGTTAGTCGTATGTCCTCATGTGGAACTCGTATGTACCCGTATGTACTCGTATGTAAGTCGTATGTAACTCGTGTGGTGTTTTTGTCACAATCAAATTTTGACAACGTATCATAGGCCTACAATTTAATTTCATCTGAGAATGTGTTCTAAAGTTCAGCACACCAATGTTCCAAAGTCCAGCAGATTTATTTTGGCTATATATGATATAATAGCGAGCGAAAAATAGATTCCCCAAATGAAGACCACCCACGACAAACAAACTATCATTTTGTATAGAATTGCACTAGCAGCGAACATAAATTGGTTTAAATTGACGTTTTTATTTATTTTATCCGTGCTAAAACGAATTCAAATTTATCCCAAATTACAAACATGGTTAATGCTAAGCACTGTTGCTGAGGAAAAACTGCCGAAATCGTTTCAAGAAATGAGAGCTTCTGGGCAAAAGGTGTTAAACCTTTTCCAAACCGTCGCAGGGAATTGAAAAGTCGGACGGGACGGGAATGTCTGCAGTAGCAATGCGTTGATTGTTTTACTGGTCAACGGAAGATTTTGTATTTGAGATTTTATATAGTTTTTAGTTGTATTTGACATTTTATAAAAAAATTTAAAGAGGCTGTCAAGTCCGTTCTGCTCATGCGCGTGTTTTGTTTACATTTTTGTTTCAAACAACAGATAATTTAATTAAAATTCCATTCTGTGGGCCTCCAAGTTAGCTCATTGTGAATTCAGAATATATAACAAAGGAGAAATTGAACTACTAAAGCAAAAATTTAACCCCAAAGCAACAAATGTTAAATCGAAAACGCTAAGAAGCACTTCTTACAGAGGTCTGGACAAAATTTGATTGAAATTTGTACATATTTTGTCCATACCTTTATTTAAAGATGTGTTTCTTCACATTTTCGATCTTAAAATTTTCATTTTGGAGCTAAATGTGCACAAATTTTAATCAAATTTTGTCCATACCTCTGTAAAAAGTGCTTCTTAGCGTTTTCGATTTAAAATTTGTTGTTTTGGGGCTAAATTTTTGCTTTAGTAGTTTAATTCAGTCTCCTTCGTGATATATTCTGAGTGCGTAATGAGCTAACTTGGAGGCCCACAGATCGGAATTTTAATTAAATTATCTATTTTTTGACACAAAGAATGTAAACAAAACACGCGCATAAGCAGAACGGACTTGACAGCCTCTTTAAATTTGAAAGCATTAATTTTAATTAC